CCTCCCCAAGCAGCTGCTGCTTCTCCCAAGAGCTGCACTGGGTCCCTCCACCGCAACACAAACCAACTTAAAAGAAGCCAAACTGGGGCAGGTAAACCTACACCCCCAAAACCCAGAACCACTCCCACGGGCCGGCCGGGGACAGGGCAGCTGTCACGGCCCAGGCCAGCAGCCCTACCCTCCAGAGCCAGCTCTCAAAACAAACCCAAACAAACTCAAAGCAAAGCTGGAACAGGACCAGGTCCCCAGCAGGGCTCGCACGCCACTTCTGTGGCCAGCAGCACCACGTCTGGTGGCTCAGGTTCAACTCGTGGTTCGGGCAGAACGGCTGCCTACGTCTGCTGGCATCCTGCAGCAGAGAGGAAAGCGTCAGGCTCTGCGCGGTGCTGCGAGGACCAGCACCCCAAAACCCCCTCCCCTTGCGTCCTCTGCTTCCGACCAGGAACCCCACCTGGAGCTCAGAGCCACCAGGGTCACACTTGGTGGGTGGGTGACAGTGTTTCAGCCCTGCCTGTCGGGCTGGGTCCCCCCAGGCACTAGAAGCACCGCAGCTCCACGCTCCCAGAAGATGCTCCAAGACTTTGGGAAAGGCAGGGGGTGGGCAGCGATGCCGTGCCACGACTCACCTAGCATCCAGAGAACCTGCAGCGCCGCTGCAACCTTCGCCTTCTCGTGCCCGCTCCCGCCTGGCCCATCCTGCCGGACCCACGTGAACCCACTGAAGGGCACAGGGCACCCTGGGATCACCACCCGGCACCAGAACTGCAGCCACCCGTCGGGGTTCGCCCGGACGCACTTGGTGAGGAAGAGGGGGGTGCCCAGGAACCGCCTCCGGCACAGGGCGTTCAGGCAGTCCAGCACGTTGCTTGGCGCTGGAAACAGGGGCGGCTGCTTGGGGACCCCCGGGCAGTTGCCCCTTTGCACCTGGCTGGACGACGGCTTCTCCTTGCATGACTGCAGTTTCTGCTTCAGATCGGGCTTCAGCCAGTCCACCCTCATCTCCACCCTCCCGAGCCTCACGTTCCCTAGGAGAGACCGGCACCGGCTGGCAGGAGACGCTCATGCACCCGCCCTCCAGTATCACCCTATCCCACCCCATCCCACCCCCCAGCACCTGGCTCAGTGACCCCCACGGGCGGTTTGGCACTGACCCACAGCGTACGAACTGCGCAGGACCCTTTCCCCTGCCTCCAGGACCCCTCACGCAGCCACAGGGCAGTTGCTTCTCCACCTCCTTTTGCTTACCAAGGCGGGCTGAGGGCTGCAAAGCTCAGGGGATTTTAGGAGCAGCCTGCCTTTAGGGATAGGTGCAAAGAAGTCAAAGCCAAATGCTTCCCAGCTGGGGCAGAAACAGGCACAAATCAGGACTCTGGAGGTTCTGACTGCACGTCTGGGGAGCCCGTCCCACCGGAGGGCAGTGCAATCACAGGGTGGAGCACTGAGGGGTAGGGCACCTCCATCAGTAGGGTTTAATAACTCGATCAAAGCTCTGGGTGCCCTGGACTGGTACTGGTGATGCTCCTGCTCTGAACGAGCAGCTGCCTGAAGACCTCCAGCAGCCCCTTGGCCTCACCACCACCAGGGCTGCACAAGGACTACTGGGGATCAGCCCCACTGAGGACAGCTGGCCTCCCTCGGGACACAGGGAGAGAACAAGGGACGTCTCAAGGCTGATGTCACAGCGCAGCTGAGTTCGGAGGTGGGATCGGTCCTTCCTTAGAGACACGAGGAAGACCGGCCCAAGCAGCACCCCACAGCACCCCGGCCTCCCCCTTACCTTCCACCAGGGTTTTCTTGGCCTTGGCAGCAGCCTGGTGCGAGCCGTATTTCAGCACAGCGAGCTGGGCCTGTTTCTGGCAGGGGCTGGTGTACAGGGTGACGCTGAGGACCCCCTCGGTGGCCTGCCGCAGCACAGCCTCCAGCTCCTGCTGGCTCACCGAGGTGGCCAGGCCATCCACGCTCAGCTCGCACTTCTCCACGCTCTTGCACACCACGATGGCGCAGCCCTCCCGCACCTCGAAGTTGTTCAAGGCAGCCATGGCCTCCTTGGCATCGCGCCGGCTGCTGTACTTGGCGTAGGCAAAGCCCCGGTTGAGCCCACTGAAAGTCATCATGAGGCGAAACTCGTAGAGCTTCCCCACGCTCTGGAAGATCGGGATCAACACGTTCTCGTACATGTCCTGGGGCAGCTTCCCGATGAACACCTCCGTCCCAGCCGGCGGGGGGTCGCCCACCCAGCCTGCAGGCACACAGCGACACGGTGCACACGGGTGAGACCCACCTCGCCTCTGTGCCTGCCGGGCACCCTGCGGGCCGTGCTCCCAGGGCACCACGGTGCTGAGACGTTCTTCTCACATACCTCGTGGGGGGCCACCATACCGCCTCTGCCCGTTGATCTGCACCAGGCTGATGCCAGTTTCTTTCGTCCAGGCACGCAGGGCCATCTTATTGGCCTGGTTGATGCCGTTGGTCCACATCTGAGGAAGGAGATGATGCTGGCGCTCGTCTGAGCAAAGAGTTTTCCAACCTCCCAACTGGGGGCACCCCGACCCCATAAAGCACCTGCAAGTCCTAGCACCAGCCAGCAAGCGGAGGAGCAAACACTGAACCCCTCCGCCCTCAGGAAACCCGAGGAGCCTCTCCACAGTGCACATCCAAAGGACTACCCTACCCACTGTCCAAGGCTGCCCCAGGTGACAAAGTCCAGCAACTCTGGCAGAGCACAAGGACACCAACAGTTCCCCCACGGATGCCTGCAAGGCCTTTGAAAGCCAAGACACAGGCACTGCAAGAGGGGGCTGGAGTGCAGAGCTAAAGTGATCCGTCACATCATGAGATCCCAGGCAGGCTGGGACCCCAAGACAGCCAACTCTCTTCCACCAGCATCTCTTCAGGCTTCTGAGGACATTACGGAAGACCCGGAGATACCACCCGTGTGGCAACAGCATCAAGTTGTAGCTCGTTAAGTACTGCAAAGTCTCATTAGGGCCTCTGAAACTGCACACTGAGTGGGATTAACCCCAGCTCAGGCCAAAGGGCAGCCTGGCTGCTCCTCACGTCTCCAGGTGCATCCCCAGGTGCTGGCACTTTTCATTCTCCAAGGAATTTCACCTTCCCCGAAAGCCCAGAAAACACCTTTGGCTGGCGGTGGGGACCCATCCAGGGGAAACCTCTGCTGAGAAGGCACGGGAGGACCAGCCACGCACCCCACAAAGCCTCCTGCCACGGCTCTGCAGCTCCCGGGGCTGACTCCCACCCAGCCCAGGGCTCCTCCTCGCCCCCCGGCACCGGGCTGCTGCTGGCCGGGGAGGTGCCAGGCCCCA